CTGGGACGAATTCCTACTTACTTTTCTTAGTAATGGTAACGAAGGTATGCCAAGGGAAGCTCGGGCCAACCTATGTCTCAGTAGCTGCCCGAGAAAGGACCACTCAATCCAGACAGGTTCTCGCAACTGCCTTTCAAACAGGACCTCGAGAGGCAAGCCATGGAAGTACCGCTAGGTAGGGAGCGAGCTCCTACTTCATTGGATGTCTGATGAAAATGGGGGCTTCCAACTGAGATTCATGAAGAGAAGAGAGGACCCGACGTCACAACCTGTGTCGAGCCTATGAAAGAGTATGCCCGAGTGGAACTGAGAAGATCAAATGACCCGACAGAGCAGGAAGTGACCAAGTGCAGTTGACTACAGAACCTGCCCTTTACCGTCGTTGCTAAAGCAAACAGCCAAAGCTTTCCTGTTGATTTCGCAGGCAGCCGATTTTTCATGCTTTGGTCTCATTATCTCACCTAGCGAGACCGCCCCACCACAGAGAGCTAGGCCTGGGTGCAAGTCAACATATTAGAATATCAGACTGATGTGGCATTCCCGACTTGAAAAGGGTTGGTAGACTTCAAGCTGGGTCAGCTAGACCTAAGTAAGTAGGCATCGAAGGAGGATTGTAGTAAGGAGTTTTGCGATTTGACTACTTTTTAGTTGAAGAACCTAGTGAGCCAATTCCTACTCCTTCGGAGTCTTCTGTGGAGCTTTCTTCTCTGATGCAATTCCGAGTGGAAGAACTTCTGACTTCCCCCAAAGAGCTTAATAGCTCTGAGTGAAGCTCCTGAGTTTCCATTAGCCCCTTTTCTAATTGAAGGAAGAAAGCTATTGAGCCAATCATTCAATAAAGAAAATAAGTAAAGAAAAAGAAAGGTGAACAAGAAGGGAATAAGCTCTCAAGCCTCGGAGGAGAGCAATCTCTTGTGGAAAAAAGGCAATTGCCTGGCAAGATCCGACTAAGCCAATCTTGATTCTCTCTGAATGCTTCAAAGAAGAAGAGTCAGCCGGGAATCCAATTTATGCGCTTGTCTTCCTTGCTGGATGTGGAACTGTAATTCATCCTCAACTGGATAGAAGAACTTCGCCTTTCTTCTTCTTCCTGAAATGAAATGAAGAGAAAGAAGGTGCCCGGCCTAAAAGACTGGTGGAAAAAGCTCTTTTTGTTGGTCAAGACCTTTTGTTGAACTAAGTAAGTCTGTTTTCTAAAAGAAGTAGTTTTCCTCTCATGGATTTCTTCCCGTTCAAGCCAGAAAAGCCCCGTAGCTATAGCTATCCAAGAGTGAAAGTGAAATTCAAGCGGGCGCGGATGCCATCGAATGGGCTCTTTGCCACAGAATGTGATGTCTTAGAATCTCCTTCCTTGAAAGCTTCAGTTTTTCAGTTCAGAATCCGATGTGAGGAAAAGAATCCTAGGTCAAGGCAGTAGCACGGTACGGGATCAGTCCCTTGTTCTCAGTGCAACGTGTGAAATGACTTAGTCAAGAGATCGATCTTAGGATACCGGCAAAGGAAGAAGGTGGATACTACTTTGATTCCGATTCGGGCGGAGGAAGACTGATTTAGAGGGGTAGGCATTCCCGTCCGCCCTTACACAGGGCCCCCCCAAGAAAAAAGAAATGCGGTACCGGCTGTGATCACACGCTGGACACAAATCCTTCATTCTTATGCTTCAGCTTAAACGGGACAAAAGTAGCTATCTGGCACACTAGGGAGTCCTCAAAGTATGAGTCCATACACTTGCTAGCTAAGACTGGATCGTCAAAGACCGGATTCCTTTTCTTAATACCTTCCTTATCTCTCCTAAGGGTCTTGCCCTAGGCATAACCTATATACAAAGAGTTCCAACTATCGAATCAAAGCAAAGAGGAACCTTTCCCCAGTTGACGAGAGAAAGAAAGGAAATGAGCCCATTGATTCACCTATCTGAAGCTGAAGGAATGAAAGCATTAGAGTCTTGATCCCCTGCTTAACCTGAAATGAAACCTCTCAAGCCAGGGAAAGATTGACCATCGGGTTCATTTCCGAGTCAGGACAGAAAGAGGCCAAGAGTGACTACTCGATAGAAAAGGGGCTGCCCCTATGAATAAGGGAAGTGACTAGCCTTCTTTCTTAGGCCAAGGAAGGAAAGCACAGTAGAACTAGCGTAGCGGGACATGACAGCGGTTGGGGAGAAGGAAAAGCTATCAGACATCAATCCAATGAACAGACAAAGCGGCTTGGCCGAAGGGTCAGGAAGAGAGAACGACTATACTTTCTGAGTTAGAACATTAGGAACCTTACACCCAAGAAAGCAGCCAAAACAGTAGAGAAGATCAGAGACGGGTTTAGCGAGAAAATTAGCTCACACCTATCTTTGATGAAAGAAGCCGCAAGTTTAGGTAGAAAGAACAGCCAGTGTCAGAGAGATGACTTCTGTTGAACTCTTCCTTTACATGAAGGGAATGAATGCCTTAATGGAAATGGAATGGAATCCGGGATCCAAGTAGATTAGGTTAAGGCAAGTATGAGTTCAACCCTTTTCTCATCGGGCCAGGATCGATAGCCGTTCGACCTGAGGAAAGTGCGGTCAGATTCAGAATCCCCAATGTCTTGGTCTTTACCTTCGCTTCGAGGGACAAGCACCGCATCTAGGTAAGCGGCATCTAATTGAATTGATTCACCGGATCTTCCATCTACGAAAATGGAAGAGATGTCTGTTAAGGTCGGCTTCATGAAAGCAAGAAAGGAAGCAAGTTTAGCGAACATAGAGATGGAAAGAGATGGATTTTGCCCAGCTGTTGTCAGATCAATTCCCATTCATTCTTTAATGGAATAGGGAACGGGCAGAGCTGCGGCTATCAGGAATGGGCGATAGCCTATGACTAAAAGCGCCGACTATCTATGAATGACCAGGATCGGAATGCCAATCGACGAGATGAGCCTACGAAAGATTTAAAGTTCAGACTATGATGACTGGCATCCTCACTTACGCAACGAAATTGAGTTGATGGAGTAGCCAGTGCCCTTGAGTTATTCTCTTCGGTATCGCCTTCTCTCATCGTTAAAGGCGCCGCAAGGCACTCGACTAGAAGGAGTGGATGTTAGGCACGCAGGGAAGACTCTGACTATGCGCTGGCACTAGCCCTGGGCATGGATTCTTCTTTGATTGAAGGAACGGGACAGAAGAGAACCAGAACCATATCCTTCACACATTCAGTCTGATCTTATCTGCGCTATTGCCCGATCATAGCTGTACTGTATTAGATTAGTTATCCGTCTCCCCTGCCCTGTTAGAACAGTCTGGTCTGTAACAACACAACCTGAAAGGAAGCCATTCCTAATAGGAAGTTTCTAGCCGTCTTTCTTGAGGAGCGAGAAAAGAGAGGAAATGGACTATCTGGTTTGGCCACTACATTTTATGAAAAAGGTAGAGATGAATCCCCAAGAGCAGAAAGATCAGAAGGAAGTAGGCTCTTAGATAGGGCATTCCCGCTTAGCCCCTGGCTTACCTAAACCGCTGTTAGCATGTTAGCACGAGAGTGGATCGGGGAATCGAAAATGCTTCTTTGATTGTTGAGTAAGGAAGCGTAGCAGGGGAAGGGGATAGCACCGGTCTTGACTCTAATACTATTCTTCTTTGAGTAGATGTCGGCATAACCACTGCTATTTCATCTGCAGCTCTTACCGTTGAAGGAATAAGTATTGCTTTGGCTTGATTGCTTTCACCAGGTCTAGCTAGGCTGGGAGTCGATTAGCCCGAGTTGTGTTAAGATAAGTGGCACTTGAATTGGAAGTAGCCATCGGCCAGGTCTTGGATAGATCTCAAGCGGGCTTGAACTGCTTTATTCGGTCTTCAGCTGGCCTACGAGGCTGCTGAAAGAGAAGAAAAGGAAAGGTGGTACTAAAAAGGGACTGCTACCAATTAGGCTAGAAAGAAGACAGTAAGCGCCGGGTAAAGTGACTTACTTGAATGGTGAGCTATCCTATAAGACTAAGAAGCGGGGAGAGAGAAGGATAACCTCTTTGAAAAGGACAGAGCCGCTTGGCCGCTACTTACACATCTGGAGTTCCGGATTGAACTAGGGAACGGAATTCAAGGGCAACGAAGGCCCTTAGATAGGACTTCATCTATGAATAGAAGAGATTTTCTTTCTAGTAGAGCTCATTACGACCATCATAACCTAACTCCAGGACTGCTACGGGCACTGATCCTTCTATTCAAAGTTTCCTTTCTCCTCTTGAATGTAGTTTGTCCTACAGCTCGCTAAAGTGAAGGTTATTCAGCAGTGTAAGCAAGTCACTCTTAACCCTATAGTGAATTCAGATATGCTGCGCTAGGAGCTAATGAAAGTCATCTAGCTCATCTAACTCAATAGGCTACTGGTGCCATCACGATCTATTTTCGGAGATGGGTCGTGGCAATAGACCTCTTGCTGGCAATATTTTCAGCATGCATTGCAGAAAAAGTTTCATTCAATACATTCAAGCGATATAGACCATCACTTAAAAAGGCATCAGTAACAACATGTGAATCATAGGAAATTTTAATAAAACCATTATTTTGTTGAAATGAATAACCTGCTTTGCCCAAAAGGGAAACCGAAACTAATTTTCGTCTCATAGACGGTACAAAAACAGTATTATCTAAACGAATACTAGAATTATTTTTAAAAGGTAAAATAGACGCCCCTATAAAATCTACTTTTGCTTTGAGTCCATTGCCCACAACAACGCTGGCTTCATCCTCTTTTGGCTTCCGTCTGCTTACTAGATCCTGCAAGTCATTGCTTACATGAACAGTTGCACCACTATCCAACCACCAGGGATTTAAAGGAACATGAACAAGACTAGTTTCAAAGCAGACAAAAGCCAAAAGATTACCTGATTTCTTTTTCAGAGGACAGCCAACTTTCTTATGACCTACTTGTTTGCAATCCCAGCACTTGATTTCTTTCTTAATTACAACTTGAGGACCAAGAGAATTATGAGATTGACCTTGGTTAACACCAGGCTTACTAGTATGACCACTATTACCACTCGGATGATGAGACTGACCATGTTTCCTTTTGTGAAATTTGGGTCCACCTTTTCTTTTATAAGAGGGATAATCAGCTGATCTAGACGAACTAACAAAGTTCACTACACCCTCAACTTTCTCCTTTTGAATCCTCCCTTCCTTTACCACATAAACAGTAATTAGCTCATCAACACTCCACTTATCTTTTTGTGCATTATAGGTTGTCATAAGTTCGTTAAACTGCTCAGGAAGGGACCTTAGAGATTGGTGAACAAGAAAATTATCGGTAATGGTTACGCCTAAATTATTCAGTTTGGTAGCAATATTAACCAATTTCATAATATGATCACAGACACTACCTACAATGTCATACTTTATGGTGGACATAGAATCAATCAGGCTACCTATCTCAGCTTTATCAGATTCTAGGAATTTCTGTCCAATGGCACTCAGAAAATCTTTTGCATCTCCATTATCCTTAATTGCAACCTTTATGTGATCAGAAATGGATCTTTTCATGATCATAAGGCTCAATTTGTTAGCCTTCATCCATTTCTCATACTTAGCCTTTTCATCAGCAGTGCTAGTAGTTATAGGTTCAGCAGGTTTATGTTCAGTCAATGCAAAGTCCAGGTCCATTAGACCTAACACTATTTCAACATCCTGTTTCCACTTCTTGTAGTTGCTACTAGTCAGAGTTTGAATGGAATTCAATTGAGTAGTTATGTTGTTAATAGCTGTATAAGCAAACAACACAAAAATTAGATAGAATCATGGGCAGGAATATATTAAATCAAAAGAGTCAAAGACATCCATTACACCCCTCCTTTGGGTAGAAGATGCAACTGTCTCCCCTTTTAAAAATCAAGGAGTCCAAGGCATTCATTGCATCCTTTCCTTTAGGAAAGAAATACAAAACCTACTACCCCTATTATCCAAGAGTACAAGGGCATACATTGTGCCCTTCCTTTAGGTAAGAGACACAAAACCTCCTCTTACAACAACTTATCCTTAGCATTAATTTAGCGTCACTAGTATCAAAAGGAAAATCTCTAACACTAGTGTACACTTGTAAAGGATAATTTGGACATGATGCATTTAGAATATTTCAATGACTCAAATAAAAAGACCACTTTGGTGGAAACTATCTATTAATCATAATTCTCAATCCATGTATTAAATGATCTCACATGTATATAAAATTAAGAACTTTTCAGTGACTCCAAATAAATAGACTACTTTGGTGACACTATTTATTAACCACAATTTCTTAGTTATACATGTTAATACATGCTATAAAACACCCATATAATTTTGATGAAAAGGAAATCGATCTATAGGCAGACAGACCGATCGAAGTGGCAGATTGAAAGAGAATTTTGATTAAGGAAATACTCTTTCTATGACTAATACCAAAAGGCTTGATCATAATTATCAAACTTCAAATCCATGGAATCACATTAAAATAATAAAGAATATGTCAAAGGTAAAAGTTTAGACAAGCCAAGAACATCATGTTGCCTTCTGCCGTCATCGAGGGTTTCAGTGGCCACAATTCATGTGATATTGTTATTTCAATTAATCCTAATGTGAAAGGCCACACATAAAATCAGATGCTTTTTAACAAATAAAAGTCCTTCAGCCATCTTATTTTCGACGCCGCTTCTAATTCATTATCCAAAACGGTCGTCGATGTTTGCTGATGGAATAGTTTTTTTTTTTTGTTTAAAAAAAAAGGAGAACATAGTGCCTTTGTCTAGAATTAACAACAATCCTTTTTGTTTTAAACCCAAGATTAATTGTTGATCTTAATCCCTGAATATGGAGCTCTGATACCAACTGTAAGATAATTGATTCGTAGCCATAGCAGAGATTAAGACACAATTACACAATCAATCTAGAGTTAGAGTCTAAGGAAGCGTATCGTTAAACTCCATGGATTCAGCAGCGACACCAAATGGGGATCAAGCCGGAGACCAACTTCTACGATCCACTAGCTACGCGCTCTCACAGCCCGGAGAACTTGACTGATGGGACGTCTTCCGTTACCACGTATTCAAGAGGCAGAATACGCTAGGGTTTTCTAATAGCTAGGGAAAGGGGGGTTGACCTCTATTTATAAAGAGTGCCTACCCATCACAGGCCAATAGTTATTGGGCCTCACTTATCCACACACACAATATTTAATATTAGGCCATTTATTTATCTACCACTTGAGCCACGTCACTATCCTTTCAGGCTATAACCAATTAACGTAAGTCCAAACTCCAACACATATGTATTAATGTTTTAAGAAACATGGTTCAGTGAGTGTTGCCCACTTATAATTGTACATTACGAGTAGTGGCCAGGTTGGTCCATGATAGTTACAAAAGGAATGAATGAGTTACATAGTGGTTCGCTCAAGCCACTACGGCACCGGGTGCCAGCCACGCCTCCCCAGGTTTGTGGCGTGACAAAGTGGTATCAGAGCAGTTCGTGGCCTAGGGAGTCTACAAAGTCGTGCCTAGTAGAGTCTCACTTATGGGTGTGTTGCGCGCCACATTTATAATTGAGAGGCTATAGGGCATTTAGGAAATGTTACCCTTCTTTTGTTTCCAGATCGTGCCATAGAGCTAAGTCGTAATAAGTCAATATAAAGTTTTCACCGAATTTTGTATGCAGTAGTGGTGCTATAACAATAGAGCTTTAAGGCGTAATTTGAAGGGAGGGTATGAAAGAAACAGAAGATACGATACGAGATTGAAAAGTAAGTAAAGTAAACATGAAGAAGATACGAGATACTCAAGTACCAAAGGTTATGAATGGTCGAGACTTCAGATATAGTTTGGGTTTTAAATTTAATTTACAGAGGAGACCCTATTAAAAATTTTGAAAATCTCTAAGAGTTAACATCCGAGGACGAATGTTCTAAAGGGAGAAAGGATGTTACACCCCGTAAGTTTAACAACCTTGATACTGTTATATATGTATATATATATATATATTTGATATGGTATTTTGAGTGAAATATTTTTGTAAAAAAAAAAAAGTTTTGAAAAACATGATTTTATATAGTTATTAATATTACTATTTTCAAATATATTTTAAATTATACATTTTAAGAAAAGAGTGTGGAGGGTTGATAGTCAAAATCGTTAATGGTTATTCGCTAAGGATACAAACAGCTATAGAAATACACGTTGCAATCTTTACTTTTTCTATGATTAGTATGATATTCTTTTTGCTTGTGCTTATTCCTTGGTAGCAGATGTGGACGTGTAATATGTATATATTATCTGCATTATACACATAATATAATATGAGAAAAATTTATGAGATTTTTTTATAAAGATATAAATTATTTTTTTTCACTAGAAAAGAAGGATATCTTTTTACCATTTTAAAAATTAAGCGTACGAAAATTTTTACTCTTTATATGAGATTAGGAAAATTAGAAGTTAAAAAAATATGTGCTTTTTGTTAACCTGGATATTTTAATAAAATAATAATGTATGTACTCATTTTATATGGTACCACATGATCATAATAGTAAAGTATATCATAGTAAGTTATATAAAATGTGTTAAAAATGAGTGGTATTTTAAGTAAGTCGAGACAATTCTTAATTATGCGGGTAATGAGTTAATTACCGGGCAACAGAACATTACCTAATTACCTAATAAGTAGATAAACATTGAAAGTTTCCACCCCATCCCACGTGGCAGTTTGTGCCATTCAAACAAATGACTCATTTGTCATTTATTATATGTGTCACCTTAAGGATTTTCGTGGAAAAGTTACAAGGATATGAGCCAAAGAGAGGTCGGGCCTACCCATATATTTGTAGCAAAACTCTGACACGATGACTTATAGACTCGGCTGCACTCCGAACGAAGTGGAGTCTTACCGATCCTTCGATGAATGTTATTCTCGTCTACTATGAGGGCTCGTCAAACTGATTATCTATACCTGCAGGCATGAATGCAGCGTCCCCAACAAAAGGATGTCAGTACGAATAATGTACTGAGTATGTAAGGCATGTAAATCAGTATATAAAGGACATGGAAGAAACATGGAGTAAAGGACTCAACCTGTAAGTTTGAACAACTCTGTGAATCATTTAATACTTATAATCTCATGCATATGCATATGAATGTCATGTAATGCATATGTCTGTACGTACATAACATCATCAAGCCTCTGAGGGCATCCCATCATATCATCTCGGCTACTGTGGGCAAATCATCAACATATACCAGCTGATCAGGTGGTGATCCGTATATAACGCCGTGACCTTTTCCCATATCCCATATACATATAATATACGTATATACGCGTATACAGCGCCGTCCGAGTCATGGGTAAATGCACATGTAAATGAATGCAATGCATGAGAAGTACATTAATAAAACTTCTCGGAGCTTCATAAGACCATTATACTAGTGCCGGCTCGACCCCCAGGCCATAAAAAATACATAATAATACCAAAATACTCGCTAAATTCTTGTCACTATAATTCTGATTATAAACTGGAGTAATAAATAACCGGGGCTTCTCATAAAGAAGAGAAGAGATTCAAAGAGTAGAAGAGTGATCAAACAGGACTTAAAGATCATGGAGAATTTTCTAGCTGAAATTTTTATTGAGATTGGAGATGTTATATATGTTTCAAGCCTGGTTTCCGATTTTAGTTTCACATTTTGAATCCAACCAATGTAGTGCTTTGTATCCTGTTGACATGCAGATATTCAATCTCTAGACAAATGATGGCTGCTTGCTACGGAGAGTCAATATCATTTTAGTCTAAAAAGGACATATTCGAGTTGTTTAGCATTATCCAGCATAAGACTAGATTCAACTACACAAAAAATAACATTCAAAATAAAATCCTTTTGACAGCTTCTATGTGGCAGGCTTGTGGACAGGATAAACAGTTCAATAGGACAAGATCCTGATGCAAAAAGCATAATTGGCGTCCTTGATATATATGGCTTTGAGAGCTTCAAAATCAACATGTTTGGATAATTGTTTTTGCCAATTTTGAGTATATAAATCTTTACCTCAAAATTAACAGCTCGTTACATACTTTACCTCAGTTTTGACCAATTCTGCATCAACCTAACAAATGAGAATTTTATTAAATAAGTCTAAGGCCCCATGTTAAGATTTGGCTTTAGGTCATTTGTTATATTGAGCCGCCTACATTATACCTCTGATTTATATCGTGAAGTAAACTTTTTCCAACTTATATTTTTTTAAGACTCATGAACAGATGATATAACAATAATTCACATGGGAAATCAAGAATATACACCCCTAATATTTCTATGAATAGAGTCAATTATGAAAATTGTGTGTTTACTCGTTTCTTCTGTATAATTTGGATCATGCCAAAAAGAAAGAAGGGATAACCTTAACATACCTGAGCCGATTCTCCTTATCTCTTTAATTTCCATTTATCCAGTTTGTAAAAAAAATGATATCTCAATGTTAGGCAGCACATTAAAATGTTAATTGTAATGGACCATTTTCCTTTTAGAAGACTTGTTCAAAGTGGCGGTTCCATTAGCCAGTTGGAGAAGCAAAAGTCTTTAGAATTTTCATGGTCAAGTAGAATTGCCCAAAATCCAAAGGCAAGAAAAGAGAACAGATCGAGAAGCATGACCATCTTCGACACTGATTGCAAATAATGAAGTAAGTGTGACTTGTAGATTCCAAAGTTATTTGTGACAAATAGTTTAAAGATGTCTTTGTCTAAAGGGAAAGAAAGCAGGAATTGATTGCATCTAAAGAGGTGGATTTTTGGTCTGCACTTCCGACCTCTCTTTGGCTCATATCCTTGTAACTTTTCCACCAAAATTCTTAAGGTGACACATATATAATAAATGACTAATGAGTCATTTGTTTGAATGGCACAAGCTGCCACGTGGGGTGGGTGTGAAATTTCAATGTTTATCTATTTATTAGGTAATTAG